GCGTAAAAAGACAGTATAAGTCATTATAATCTGTAATTATGTTCCCACTAGATGCAACAAATGCCTCGTTTATAATGGGTTTTAATGTTTTTGTCTCATCGCTCCGGGACACGGCATCACAATATGGTAAGGGGCGTAACATTTCCGTCACACGCTTGAGGTATTCGGCCAATCACAACGCACTGGATAGCTGGCCAATCAGAGCACACATCGCTTTTCAGACCGATGAGCTTTGTAAAAATCGACACGTTTCAGAAAGGCAGGGGATAGAGGAGAAACAAAGTATGTGGGAAAATAAGGTGTATTTTTAACCTTAAACCGCATAAACACATTTCAATACACCAAATACACAAAATAATGTTCTTTTTAGCAACATCATATGACCCCTTTAACACTAATTAAATGCTCAGTTATGTAACTTGTGGTACTTATTCAAAAACAAGTGAGACTTTTGAACTTGTTCCCAAGCTGAGGACACGCAGTACTTTGGGTGGAGCCCAACAGATGTTCTGGCCCAATAGACCTCCATTTCTCTCTAGTGGTGATTCGTTGTCATAACAGGGAGGATTTACCTAATGAGACAAAGACAGTGTTATTTTAGTATCTTTTTTTCTTAAATTGTAACTTATATTTACTGTTTTCACTTTAATTGTAATTAGTTTTAGTAACTTTGTTGTGTTAGTAATTTTTATTAGTTATTAACTTTTATTAGTTTGTTAATATGGCTAAAAGTTTTAGTCTAAGTGTATTTAGGTTTAGTTATTTGAGTATTACAAGTTAAACTACATGGAAATGGGACACATTGAATTAAAAATATAAAAAGGTATCAAATGTATTTTACATGCACTATGGTGTTCTGTTGATACCATGATGGAAATTTAATTGTGCTCTTCGAAGTACTGTCTTTTCCTTTTTTGTAAGAGAATTTATGTAATATATCTTGTAAATTTCAAATCATCTGTTAAGAACACAAAAGGAAAGCTGATACGGATGAAATGTGAGGATCTAACATATTGGAAACACTAGATGGCACTGTTGATCTTTCCCAACGGACTGAGCTGCGTTCTCTTCATCCAGTTCACCGGGAAATTGGCCATTCAGAACGATACTGAGATTTATTCATTGCCCCACTTGTTGAAATATGAGACTAGTTTACATATTTCCTGTTTCAATTGCTTGAATCTTCTGACACAGGAAAAAAAATAAAAACTCTTTCATCTCTTTCTCTCGCTAATGTAGAGGTGCATTACAGACACCAGAGGGCGCGCGAACCAAAGTCTCACTAGTTTCTTTGCGAAGGTTTTTGTATCAATGAGAAAATATTATACCGCAAGTAAATTCACATATATTTACGTTACTACAGTTTTTTTGTCGTGTAATCTGGAATCAGTAACGGACTACAATTTGTAAGTAATCTAGCCAGCACTGTGTATATGCATTTATTTTATTTTTTATTTTATTTATTTATTTATTTGTTTGTTTGTTTGTTTGTTTGTTTGTTTGTTTGTTTGTTTAGAAAAAATAGGTGTGATCAATGGTATTTATTTGTTTGTTCGTTCGTTTGAATAATACTAATTATTTTAATAATTTTAAGTGTGATAAAAGCCCTTGATTTCCAGCTTAAACATGAAGAAACAGTGCTTGTTCTCTCTAGTGGACATGAAAACTGGCGCATTTTTCTGACTTTCGTTTTGGCCAGTCCCTGCACATGCGTGGATGTAAATGCATGCGAGTTATCAGAACGAAGGATGTAAATGCATGCGAGTTGTTATAGAACGAAGTGTGGTTTATTTTCATGCAGACGCATGCATTCGTATTTGGCCATATTGGATGATTTGTGCTCGCGCATATTACGGCGAATGGATGGTGCACTGAATGACTGGTGCGTTCAGTCGTGCGTCAGACACAGAGGTCCTCCCCTTGTGTTTCTATGTTACTGCCCCCCTCTCTCGCTCTCTATCCCCCCTCCCTTCCTCTCTTCTCTTCTGGCATCCCCCATCCCCCATCGCTTTATGTGCTTCCATACAGCTTGAAAATCAACCGGAGGAGGAAACCTTCACACTCGCGGAGAATAGACTGACCCTCAGCAACCCAGAAGATCGCTTTAAACCGGGATCACAGACTGGATCAGGGTGACCCATCTAAACCATCTCGCACTGGTAAGTCACATTTCATGTAGTTTTCCTTTCTAAAGTCCAGAAACACCATCCAACCACCATTAGAGCTTCACCACCATCAAACAGCAGCAATGCCTTTCTCCTGCCAGTGCGTGTGTGTGTGTGTGTGTGTGTGTGTGTGTGTGTGTGTATGTGTGAGTGAGTGAGAGATGGTGAAGCTCT